CCCTCCGGGCGTCCACGAGGCTATCAAAAAGTCTCACAAAGGTTAGCCATTCGGAGAGGACCCCGGAGAACCTTGGCAAGTCCAGAGTTGGAAGTCGTCCCAACAGCTCCGGCTGAAAAGGCTGCTTCCGAGGGGACTCGAGCAGGCCACTCAGCCGAGCTTCACGCGCGTCACTAGCATACTTTGCCCCCGCCTCGATCAAGTTGTCCGTTCCGCTCCCGAGGCCATAAGCTCGGAGCAAGCCCCCTCCACAACGGCCCTTCGGGCCATGACCTGCTCGAGCCGCTTCTCTAAACTATGGACTCGATCTGGTCTCCCTATCAAGCTGAGTGAGCCAAGTGAGCATTCGCAACCCAGCGCAGTTCCGTCTGCAAGCGAAGCGTCGGTGACCTGTGCGATGGCATCATTACTAGATACGAGTACTATCAAATTAAATTCAATACAAGTTACAATTTATCAAATCAAATACAAGTTACACTACACAATTAATTTAATTAATACAATTACGGTTAATTAAATCAACACAATTAATCCTCCGCGAGTACTAACTACAGTCGATCAACAAGACGCAACGCTAAGGAAACCGACACTTCAGCAATTTAACTAATAATCCAAATGCAATACTAAATACAAACGAATACAATAACGATAATACGATAATTCCAAGCTTATGTGACAACGGTAATTATCAACCTTACACGACGCGGGACGGTACCTAACCTAACTACACTCCGCTTACGCCGCTTACGGTCGGCCGCTTAGGCTCTAAATTCTACCTACCACTAACAAAGTAAGCGAACAAAGAAAAGAATGAAAGAAAAGAAAAAAAATATTTTTATTACGTGGTTCTACACCGATCCGCTAACAAACAGCACGCGAACAAAACAAAAAAATATTATTACGTATTACGGCCGGGAGTGATTGCAAAAATAATCAAGAAACCACGCTCTGCTAACAGAGTGTGGTTCTATACACCGATCCGTTAGCAAAACAAAAAAAAATTATATTACAACCGGGCGTGATTGCTTCTACCTAACCACCAACTACGCTCTGCTAACAGATTGTTACGGCCTAAAGTTACCCTGACAAGGTCGTTTAACTCGGGACCATCAGGAGTCCAACTCGACGAGTAACGGAAGGTCGAGCCCAAAATGGCCTATGGATAAATAAATTTGACAGGTTAGGTACACAAACATAAGAATTACAACCTATTGCCAGAAGTGGGGTTAACCACAGGAATAGTCAGGTGAAAGTGAGGTGAAAGTGAGGTGAATGTGAGTTGTGTTCAGTAAAGTGTTCAATGTGTAACCTGACATCCCCGCTGGTGCTGGACAGCAATTCCAAGGCTGGCCTCTATCCAATTGTGGGATCCATCCAAGGGGGGTTCAACAATGGAACACTTCCGCTTTTACTTTCACTATACTAGTTTATTATAGTTTATTGTACATTTAATCAACTTCAAGTTAAACCAAAGCAAAGTTAAATCGACGGTAAACAGCGACACGCGTCACAACTCAAGGATGGCTGGTCAAAGTTCAATGTCCCAGGCCACCGTAGCACAAACTACTAACGCGTCGATGCAATTAACAGCATAAAATTCCTTAAATCACTACAAATTCCAAGTAGGCTTCCGTCACGTAACGCGTACAAAATAGACACTAAATTCGAAGCTTTCTAGGTTATTTTCTAATATTCAATAATAAATTCAAAATGCCGCGCACAACCGTATGAGTCACAAAACTGAAACTCAAATACCTCAACGTATATTCGACCCGGGATTCGCGCAAAAAAACTAAAGAAATAAGCCTCTAAATCGACCCGGGAACGCGGCCGTTCAACCGTATCAAAAACCTACGCGCGAACTCTTAGCGCCACGGCTAGCTCACCAAGAAGGCACGAGAGTCGCCGACGTGGCAGTCGGCCGCACCTATCCACATCCCCCCCGGCCCCGCCGTCAGACCGGTTTCCCGCTCGAAAACGCGCGCCGTCGCAGGTTGCAAATTGTTAAAATCATGCCTAAACAAACGTGCGTGTGTTTATAACTAATCCTGATACCAAACAGGCATTTCTTTTTTCATTGTGTGTCATGAGCATAAATATACCTAAAGTGTATTTAATAAATGTTTATATTCACCTGATTTCAAAAGCATTTAGAATCAGGCGTATTCAAAAAGACCTATCTACATTACGTGCCTTCAAAATGCTTGCCTAAGTGTTTTTGATACGGCGCTATCTACGAATGCAGATTACTGACGTTCAGCCGGAATTACGTTACGATTCAATAAATAAAATGTCTATTTTAATGTCTAGCCTGATTACAGAATGCCTAAATAATTACACTTTCTTTACGACAAAATTTCCAGCTACAATCAAATGCGCTATTGAATGTTGCCGTATTGAGGACAATCCGCTGCATGTGTTCATTTTGTAACGCATGGCACTTAAAATTCAGCATTCTGATAACGCTAAATTTTAAGTTCCATTGTTGAACATTAAATCGCTGATACAATACATGGTTTGCATTAAGACTAAGCTAGGGTTTATTAATACATCTTATTTCTTGTTTGTTTCCTATCGTACCGACCGAATATAACCGAAGCCACTCACTCCCGATATAACCGAAAACCTTCCGTTTCAGATTATTATTTTCGTGATTTCTATCTCTCCTTCATTTTTTTAAGAGCTAACTACACTTTAATTTTTATCTTGTATATTATTGAACTCATAAAAAGTTTCTAATTATATTATTAATGCCTATCGTATACTGCAACATTTAAGGCGTATTCAAAGATCGAAATCATCTTATTTACGAACTATTCTGATTGATACTTACAAGGTAGTATTACATTATTGTTGTTTACAAAAAAATACTTCTTTAGCGATATCGCAATCATCATTATCATCATTCATATCATTATCGACGGCTGAACAAAGGCCTCCCCCATGAAATGCCACAAAGCACGGTCCTGAGCCACCTGCATCCATCGACTTCCTGTATGTTTTACCAGGTCGTCACTCTATCTAGTGGGGTATCGCCCTACACTTCGCCTAATAGTAAAAGGCGATCACTCAAGAAGCTTTTCTATACATCAGTTGTCGGTTCTTCAAGCTATATGGCCAGCCCATTGCCACTTCAGGTTACTAATCCGTTGGGCTATGTCGGTCACTCTGATTCTACTGCGGCTATCCCCATTTCTAAATTTATCACGCAGAAAAAACGCGAGTATATAGCCCTATCCATAGCTCACTGAGCAACCTTGAGCGTCCTCATACCTTACTCGTCTCAGATCCTTGAGTCATCACTGGAAACACGCAATTATTCTTTAATATAATTTTCCGGTTTTGAGGTATATGTGACGAGAAGATGTGACGTAATTTCCCGAATGCTGTCCAGTCGAGTTGAATCCGTCGATTGACCTCTCGGTCGAAGTTGGACTAATCTAGTCGGACTGTTTGTCCCAGGTTAACGTGCTCGACAACAACTTTGAACTTAGTGCTCCCAACAGCTACCGGCATAGGTGTGACATGGACCTATAAATTGGGAGATACTATTGCGATCATTGAGCATATTGCTTAGGTCCTCCAGCAATTCCAACCATAAGGACTATATCGTCGGCAAATCGAAGGTGAGTTATGTATTTGCCATTGACGTTAATACCATATTCTTTCCAGTCCTGTAGCTTGAAAACGTCTTCCAATGCAGTAAATCACCAGTTCACCCCGTTAACGCTGGCGTTCCACAAGGCTACGTGTTTCCAACGCAGTTTCTTCTGCATATAAATAACATGTTACAAACCGGTAACATCCATTGCTATGCAGACGACAGCACTGGTAATGCTTTATATACCGGCCGTGCCAATATTTCTCGGTATAATGTCGCTGAGTACCGGGAGAAACTTGTGTCTGAAGTTGAAACTTTGTTGACCAAAGTCTCGGACTGGGGCGACTAAATCAAGTCCAGGTTAACCGTCAGAAGACACATGTTTGCGCGTTTACCGCTATATATATATATATATATATATATATATATATATATATATATATATATATATATTATAAATTTAATATATGTACACTTTATATGAGTATTATGTTTCTCACGTGCCAAATTAAGTCCGCCCTATGTACCCTTTACTTTAAGGTGTCAAATATAAGTATTTATTAAGGTACAGAATTATAGAAGTATATAAGGGGTCACATATAAGTATGTTTTATTTATTTATCATATAAACAAATACAATAAAAAATACATGTTAGTTAACAACGCAAACATAATAATTATATACTCATTTCTTACAGCATAGTAAAAGAATTATTCAAACGATAGATAATAAATTTAGAATGTAAATTTTTAGCTAATATAATCTTTTGAGGGGTAAAGTCATCTTTCAGACAATAATTTAAACCATTTTTTATTAATTTGTATATAAGAACTTTAAGAAAAAGGCTGCCAGATCTGTGTAATCGTATAGTAGTAACTTTTTTATTTAATTATTTGTTTGCCTCGCGTGCTTTGCAATGTGTGAGTTAATATAATGTAAACAACTTTTGATAAATATTCAGGCTTGTTATTGGTATATGTACATTGATTAGAAATTTTGGGGTTCTTCATTTGTTTCTCTATTTTTAAATAGAATTAGGGTGACAAACGAGCACACTTGATGGTAAGTGAATACTGTGTCCCATATCATTGATTAAGAATCAAAATGCGAATGCGTTGCCACCCCTGAGGACTAAGATGGAATGCCTCGCTTCCAATAAAAAGTGTATCCGGTTGTCTACACTCACCATACGAAACACAGCAGCACTGAGCTGCTATTTTACGCTGGTGTTCTGTGAGGTGTTCTTCCTCGTTCGAGCCGACCAATTCGTGCTACAACCATAATTAAGTTAGCATGGCTCTAACTAACTACCTAACTCGTAAAAACCGTGTTTGATACCAAACATTTCCCGGAGTGTATACTGATCGACATTATTAACTAAAATACACATAATATTACCTTCTCCAGTCCCTTTTTCATGAGGAACAATGGTGACTCCTTCAAAAGAAGAAGCATCACAACACTCGCAATTGACAACAAAAAGCATGTGTACATCATGGTATTGTACTTCAGACATCCGCCTAAAAGATAACTAATTAGCATTCCAAGGTTGAAAGCAATCATAGACCCCGAAGTCGTCGTGCCTCGTATCGAGTCCTGGCAGAATTCGCTGACGAAAATAGGCACGATGAGAAGGCAGTTGCCGCCGATTCCAGAAATAAATGTTGCCACGAGAATTGCCTCCACCCGGTTACTGACGATAACGATCGTCCATGACATCTACAAATCAAATTATAAATTAATAAGTTTTTAAGTGGTTATTACCTCCTTGGCATTTCTTCTATATCGTGAAAGCGGAAGACATTAATCTCATACAGGAGAAATGCCAATGGTTGATTTACATGATTACATTTTTTCCTGTAACTACTCTTGGTGACAATTTCAAATTCAAATATTTAAGTTCCTAATATCTACCTTTTATGTTTATTTCTGCAGCTAACTTGTTTTGTATTATAAAGAATCTGCATAAATATTCTACTAAATAAATGTTGTGTTGTGTTTGTGCCGGAGCAAAAAGTGACAGCAGGTAACCGACTACGTTTAAATTTTTTGTAATTCTTATTTTTGATATTAATAGAGGCATTTATTATTACTGTCCCAATGCGTATTGGCAAACTTTACATGTTTTCGAAATATTTTTTCTTATTTCTCAGATATACAGGTTTCCTTACGATATTTTCCTTCACCTTCAAGCATGTGATAAATCAGCACTTAAAATTGAAACTAACAATTTCATTGTTGCCGGCGGGGATTGAACCCGGATCGCTCGCGTACTGTGAAATGTACAGTGAGCGCTTAGCCTCTGAGCTACCACGGCTCTAAATTAAATTATTTATCTCGTAGTTATTTCCAGTCCAGGTTTAAATAGAAGTATTAAAGGATTTTGTTAAAAAAGAAATAGGTCTTAATATTGGCGTAATTTTAAGATAGCTACTGTTAAAACTGTTCCCTCATTCTACTCGTACTTGTCTCACAAACAAAAGCAAAAGCATTTGTTGTCAGACAAATACCATGTGCTAACACTTTGAAGGAAGTAATATAAAGAGATGTAATGTTTTTTCCCTTTTAAAGGTTTCTTCTAACTAACAGATAACGTTGAATGTGTGTATATTGACAACGTCATATTAAGGTATTTGCAGTCACGATGTCATAGTTAGCTGGGCTACATTCAGTTTTTGAATATTAATTTTCGATTCAATCGAGCTTACATTACCTTGAAGTATTACAGTGGTATGCTTGGGTGTGAATTTAAGTTATGAAATTTAATTTATTATTTACTGCCTCGTCGGCCTAGTGGTTGTAGTAGTGCGACTGCTGATCATGAGGTCCTGGGTTCGAATTCCGGGTCAGGCCAAGAAAAATATTGAGTTTTTCCGTCAAGAGGTTGCCCGGAGTCAGATAATAATATATATATATATATATATATATATATATATATATATATATATATATATATATATATATATATATTTGACAATATTATTTGACATGTATAATTAATTTACTCACTCTAATCCAGTCTTTTAGTAATAGAGTATTTACTTCTAAAACTTTCTTTTTAAATAGTTTCATATCATTTAATGTATTGACTAAAATTTGACAAATCACAGACTTCCCGGGACGTCGGCGCTTTACGTCAGTTGTAATATGTTATTTTTGTATGGTTAATTATATTATAAATCGACCAAATCCAGGAAATACCTTTTGACGTTTTACATTATCATTCCGCAATAACTTTGCACAAGCGTATGCGCACGATTTAAAATAACCTTTTACGTAAATCCGAAGAATTATGAAGTTATTTATATTTCATACCAAAGTGTATACATTTTTATCACTTAATTAAAATCGAATCTTTCAAAGCAAAATATTAAAATAATAACCTGTATTCATTTTTTCACTTGACGTCTTTTCAATGATATGTTGCTCTGTACCTTACCGCAGTGTTTGTGATTACAATTCATTGTTATGCGAATAATTGGCAAAAATATTAAAATAATCGGTAAAAATATTCAAGTTATCGATTCATAATTTTTTTTAATATATTATTTGATTAATTAAATTTTTTAAATTCCTTAAATTACATGAATCATGAATAAAACAATTTTTTTTACTTTGTCAACTTACATTTGCGTAGGCAAAAAACTCATATACAAGGCCGCGCTGAAAAAACTACGTAATTTCAATCTCTCGCCATTTCAGGAGCTGTGTATTTTGTGATTTTGTGTTTGTCTTCTTACTCTCGACTCAACTTAAACTTTTTAACTGTTTCTTCTATTTCCGTTGAAGCATGTGCCCATATCACAAAGGATGATTGGGCAAAATTTGTAGAAAAAACTAAAAAATATATTATATTGAAAGAGACGTAATATTGACTGATCAGATAAAAATTAATCTAAACAGTGACAGCTCAACATTTTTAATCTAGTTTTATAACTGTGCCTTTAGAAATAATTTTAATTAAAAGTAGTAACAACAAATACGAAGAAACTGATAAATCTTGTGATTTAATTTAACTTAAAACTTTAAATGATTATCAACTCTAAATAATCGATATCGATTTTTTTAGAATAGAATATTGTACGTTCCCATTTTTTGGTTGGCATGCTTGGTGCGATAAGTCTGACAGCTGTCAAAATGTATTACTTACATTTGGTTGACTATAATAATCTTAATGAATGGTTTTGCTTGTCTTGTGTCTTACTAGTGTAACTAGTGTTGAACAGCTACATTACTTTACTTAAATTTTTTCCATAGCATAATTTTGCTTGATTGTATAATGATTTTGTTATGGAGAAAGCCTTATTTTCAATTTATTTTTGTTTTGTAGAATTGGGTCATAAAATTGGGGCTATTTACAACTTCAAACCGAGACAGTCTCTCAGAGACTATTTAAAGAAATAAATATATTAACTTTGAGAAGTATTGAAACCAGTTTCTCGACTTCACAGACTAAATGGTTTATTCATGACGGAGATTTGTTCATGGGGCAATGTATAGGTTTTACAACAACTCTAAGAATATATACAATGACTGTCTATTACCAAGACCTAATATTTTATAAAACAAAAACTGTATAAAAAGGGTTCTAATAATATAAATGCGTAAATACCAAGCTGTTTCTGTATAAAGATTTAACGCTAAGCATGACTGCTTTATTCGGTACGTGGCCCCTTAGCCTTATTACAAATCTATCACCTGTCGACGAGGACGTGCTTGCTTATTTCATGTTAGTGTTGTTCTTTGTACTGCACCTATATTGAACCTTAGAGTAGTAGTGCTGAACCATGACCAATATGTATGCGACAAATACTGTAATATATTATCGCAGTTTCAAAAGTATATTTGCAAATGTCTCACGCTACCCGTAAATTTCTACAACATCAAGGGACTTCCGTCAAACGTTAACGCCGTCAAAACTATTATCTGATTATATTATATAATCTCTTTCTAATCGAGTCGCAGGTGTCCTCTTTGGCTGATATTTCATATTTTTCCTGCCCGATGTACAAACTGGAACATTTCTTTTTGCAACGGGCTTGAGTTTATGCGCCGTTTGTGTTGAGCCACTACACCCAGTCCGCTTCTGCGGGGGCCTTTATAGATCCCACAGTGGTAAAGCCGATACAGAGACTGACCACATGAAAATTACTGCAGACTCCGTGTTACAACAGATTCCATCTGCACAAATAGTGATCCTCAGCGATTTAAACGCCTACCACGCTTAACTTGCGGGGAGATCTGTTTTTGAATTTATCAGCACAATGTGGTATGACTTAACTGGTTTCTTTACCTGCATGGGTTTCAGATGTGGAGAATCATGCACTTTCCTGTTGAAATTTTTGATTACCTCTAGTTTTCTCGATTCATAGATGGGAGGCGATAAGGTTAGTTCTAGACGTGGCGAAATCCTTTTATCGGGTTTGGCACAAAGCGTTTTTACCAGCTTACTTAGCTTACTCCTTTTTGAAATGCTGGAAAAGCACCTGCTATTCAACAGATTTTGCAGTTCTTCGTGGGGAGCAGTGGACACTTCCGATCAAGTGAGCCGCATTCCTGTTTGCACCCTCTTTTATAAAAAATGTTAACCTAAGTAACACACGACATAGGACTACGTATCGAAATTCACTTTAAAACATTATTTAAACTAAAATTCAGAACGCTCAATAACCCACCAAAACTCCTATACTAGTTTCCTATGGTCAGTGCTCGCCCTAAGTACAAATTAATCCAAGATGGTGAGGCCATGTGCGTTGACTACAGAACATAGCTATTCAAGAAAAATTACTTACCACTTGTGCCAGGGAAGAGAGCACGCAACTGTACTTTCTACCGATATTATCGAGGAGGAATGCCGATAGAAGCGTGCTAACGAGCGCACCGATGGATGAGAGACTTCCAAACAGCGCTATTTCCGTCTCATACATAGGCCGGTGCAGGGTCGTGTTCGATGATGAAAAAATCTTCACTGTCGTTGACGGCCAGACGTACATCAGGCCCAAAGTGAAAGATGTATAACAAACTAAAAATAAAAGTTAATTATTTTAAACTAGATAAAAATATCAATGCTCTTTGTAACAAACGAGCTTTTAATAAATGTATAAAAAAAACAAATTAATTGATTCTGGGAATTTATATCTTTTTATATATTTCAATTATTGTTATTATTTAATAGCCGTGGTATTTTAGGTTCTAAGCGCTCGGAGTAAATTTCATATTACGCGACCAACCTTGGTTCGATTCCCGGCAGCAACAATGAAATTGTTAATTACAATTTTAAGTGCTGATTTGTCATGTGCTCAGCGGGGAAGGAAAATATCACAAGGAAAGCTGCATGTCAGAGAAATTAGAAAAAAAATATTTCGAAGATAATATATGAAGTTCGTCAACAGATATTGTGTAATTGCTCAAAAATCCTCTCAGAAATGAGAGGAGGCCTGTGCCCAGTAGTGGAACGTCAATAGGCTGCAACTTTAGCTTATACGTAATTACCTCACTACTACTTAAATGTTTTTTGGCTTCCGATTATGGTGCAGAAAGCAAAGGTGCGCAAAACATAATATGTTATTGCGGTCGTCAATCCGCGTGAAAAGTACCACAATTAAATCAATTTTCTTATAGAGTAAGTGTGTCAAACTAGCACACATTCCACCCGATGGTAAATTGATGCTGTGGCCCATAGATATCTATATTAGTCCTCTATTAAGAACCAAAATGGCGATGCGTCATCACCCCTGAGGACTAAGATGAAATGCCTCGTTTCCAGTAAAACGAGTCTCTGGTTCTTTACAATCACCATACGATACACAGCAGCATTAAGTTGGTATTTTACGCCGTTATTCTGTGAGATCGTGGACCTTTCCCGGTCGAGCCGACCCATCCACGCTCCAACCATAATATAGCTGCAGCGTGGCTCTACCACGTATAAATCTTCCTGACAAGAGGAAGCATAATATATTGCCCAAGGAAAAAGCTACATCCTTCATATTATTAGTACAGCACGAACGGCAGATACTATTTATAGAAATAATTATATGCTGTTAGTAATTATTGATGATCACACTTAGCTTACCAATAACGCTGCATCCAATCTGATACAATATCGACATTTTTAATTACGATCGAATGCCACTTCACACCAAAACTTTTCCAAAAGGGTTACTCGTCCGAGTCACTACTAAAACAAATTTACTGTTTGTTATTGGTAGTATTTTTTAGAATTCATTGTAAGTAATCGATTAATACCAACCACACAATGTTTAAACAGACAAAGACAACAATACAATTACAATGCTGGATGAGATTTTTTCGTTTTCGATACAAAATCAGTTTATGGCCCATTAATAATATGTACATGTGTATGGGCAATGGAATCCACTTACCATCAGGTGAACTGTGTGCACGTTTGTTACCCTTATTCTAATAAAATATTTTATGTGTAATTGTTTAAATTTAACGCCCTATAGTTTTTGAAGGGCAGTTTATCGTAAAGTATATTTTTACAAATTTTAGCAAACAACGAAAGGTATGTAGAATTTCGTTAGTTTTTTTATTTATAATTTGCTGTATGTATCTGCTGTGTACTTAAGTTTTAAAGTAAGTTTTAATATCAGATAAGTTAAGGGCAAAAATAATGATTGCACCTGGTTTTTCATGCAAAGGGGAACGACGGATTTAGTACTGCATACATTTTTTGTTGTTTTATTATAGAATTTGCACCAGATATTAAGGCAACTAAGCCAATAATTTTCATGTAAGTTTTATATTTTTAGAGCTTGGGATTAATTAATAATATCGATAAAATAGATTTGAATAAATAAACGTAATTTATTCATAAACTAAACGCAATTATGTTATTAGAAGTTGCCATATATAATATAACAGAAATATCGAAATGGTAATTAATTATATAGACATAGAAAAACAATATATATAATTAAACACTTACATATTATATCTAAGAATGCATAATTGTTGTATAAAATCATAATGTTTAACGAATAAATGATAGGAATGATTTTAGGAATGGTTTTTAGAATCAGGCGTTACTTTGCGGAAATCCATTATAATAAACATATAAATAGTTATTTTGCAACCATCCACTAAATAAAAAAATGATGTGTCTTACCTAGTTTGAAGAGCACCTCATCATTCATTCAGTCATTCACATTCATCTGATAATTTGCCAAGAAGACCAGTTGGGCGTCAAAGTGTATGTTTTGTATGCGGACGATCCATACTAAGAATTATTCGACGCAGGATTTTGATTGAAGGAGCAAATGAAGAAGAACAAAAAATGGCTAATACAGTTTCTAATTGGATCCACCCATGAGAGGTATATTTATTACAACTATTATTAATTTTCTTTATTTAATTTAAACTGAGAAATAAAATAATATTAAATTCCTATTACTGAGTCAAGCTTTTCTTTATTTATATTTTTAGTTTTAGCTTCGTTCTGAAGATGAAGCTTGTGTGCCACGTTGGCTACGAACTAGAAGAACTAGGAGTGCTTCACCAGTAGAACATATACAACCCCCTTCATCTGATCATGTAGATGGTGATCATTCTCTTTTAACATGTGCTGTATGAGGTCAGATTGTATCCACCACAACATCAGATGAAGAGTGGAATCCCGATAACACTGCCCGTTTGTTGGAGCACCAGCCGGTATATATGAGATACTATATTTATAGTAACTAGCTTTAGTTATTTACTTATTGCATTTACATGTGGTTTTGTGTTTTTACATTACAGCACATGCACTCAGCAATGGGTATACCATAAAATAAAGCTAGCCAGCTCTAATGTCTTAATTCCAATACTAATATTTATATTTTCTCTCTCTCTCTCTCTCTCTCTCTCTCTCTCTCTCTCTTATATCTGTTATTATATATTTTCTTCCATCTCTATTATATCATTGGGTAATATATTTATTGTATAGTTTAATAAAATGAATGCCATGAAATATGCTTCAGAACACAGATAGTGGTTTTAGGCAATATTAATTTATTTCTCTTCCTAAGTTGTATAGTATATCCATTTATATTATTATCACCAGCTTTTCGAAATATATCTACATAATATCTTACTAATTTAGCTGATTCTAATATGTATAAAGATGTAACTGTTGTGTGTAATAGTGTGTACAATAGTGTAATCTTGTATTGTATGTCATATGGTCTCCAGTTTTGCCTAGAGTTAATATTTGCTAGAACTCTTATACATTTTTTGACCGATAATATATATAAATAGTTTTGGATGTCCGGCATATTCCCCCAAAAGCATACGGTTAACGCTTGCCATCCAAAGGGCATTACTCCTAAATGTTGCTAACCCTGGGACACTCATGAGGTGAGTTCTACTAACAACAAAGAGCCCTTTTCCTCTACAACTTATTCACACAACATTTAAACGATATAGCTATTTGGCAAAGTTTTTTTGTAAGGTGAAGGCAACCAATTATTTTTTTTCTACCAATTAATTAATTCTATTAAAAGAACCATTCTCCAGCTTGGGTTGCTCAAATCCAATCGAGAATCTCACAGTGTCCTACCCATTTTCTTGTTTGTGTTTCTTTTATGCTTGAAAATCTTGGGCACAACTTATGTCTATCGAACTTAGTGTTTGATTTGTATTTTATCAATGCTATTTTTATATGTATGACCATCTCATGAAATAAATTATTTACAGATGCTACCACGAACGAAGTTTGTGAAGTTTGATGGGGCAAAGCTCGATATTTGAGCTTACATGTACCAGAAGGACCAAAAGGAACACCCCTCCCAATTGTATTGCCCAATATAAGAAGAGCGGCTGAAACACCAAGGCATTGCATTTTCCAAGAATGCATGGAACCAGATTGAAATGTTGTGCCCGAAGAAACCAAGTGAGAAGTATTAATTAAGTATCAATATTTTATAACAAGAGGTGCTCGTATTTGTTCTCTGCATAGACAGAAAGCAAATTATAAAAACCTTTAAAATGCTGAGTACAGCCTTAATAACTTTAATTCTATACCTATAGAAGAGATTATTTTTGTATTAAATGGAACAAGTACGTAACATTTCTTATGAAAACTATTCAAAACTATCCCGACAACGAAAAAAATATATAAAAAACATTACGAAAGAAATGATAGGCTCAGAAGGGCTAGAACCAAGAGCTGTAATGCCAATTAAATAATAAATTGGAACACTAGTACATAACTCTCCAGTATTATGTATTAGTCTACGGTCTATGTAGATAACCTTAAAAATTAAAACTGTTACAACTTTTATGTCCCAAGTTTTAAAAATCTAAGAATTTAAAAGGGGTTTGTCTATCTTACTAACTACCAATTAAAACCAAAAATATCCCAAAACACGATATTTTATTAGCGGTACGAAATTCCCATACAAGCCTGCCTCTTCTCAGACAAATTAACTTCATATAAAACAAATTGTTCTAAAATACAAAATAAACATATCTATAATGGATAAAATTAAATACTCACGGTTTTTTTTATTCCTACCTCGTCGGATGTGAGCCTTAGCAGGCGGGTTAATCACTAGGGATGACTACTATGTTCAGGAGAAATAAAGTATTTAAAGAGCAAAAATAATATAATAATCTACTAAAGTAAAAATACTTTAAAAAGCTCGTTATTATGACGAATAATAGTTTATTATTCGTTTTCTTCCTCTTATCTTCTCTTCTCTTATTAAATACGTAATACTTAGTCCTACCGGATTGTCATATCATTTCGTTTAATTAAAAAATATGCTATATTATAAGAATGTAGTACGATTAATTACCCTATTAACCTCTTCTGTTCTTTAAATTTATCACACGCGCGTACTAACAACAATTCACAACTGTATTTATAAAATGATTTAAGACGCCTTGAGAGCGTGCGTAATCTGTTGACCAATCGATTTTAAAAAAGCGTCTGCTAAAATTTGAAAAATATTACCAAAAAGAACACGTATATCATGACGTAAAAAAGAAGAGGTAAGAAAGATTTAGTAATGAGAAGTGTGATAAAGACAAGTGAACACAGAAATGTCGTTCTGGTTTTGATACATTAAGCTAATAAAGCCATGTCACTAAAGAAATTAGGATTTATTTATATTATATTTTATTAACGCCGCTACCCATCTAATATATATATATATATATATATATATATATATATATATATATATATATATATATATATATATATATATATATATTATATGTATATATATATATATATATATATATATATATATATATATATATATATTAGATGGGTAGCGGCGTTATCATAGTAATAATACAAAACTGCAGTTTCCTCCGCGGCAACAATGACAAATATTCACGCTATAAGATAGTTTAAGAGGGGAGCACATGAATAGCAGTAAATATTTGGTAGGCTGTAACGGTAATGGTATTCGGAATAAATTACCCTCAGTACAGACGTCCTTACTACTTTATCTCGCAATAAGACATGGTACTCGACAAGAGTAAATAAATAAATAAAAAAATTTTGGCTTTAGATGGACGGCAGAGTAAAGAGACAAGAGTCTAACCAACACTGGTGAAAATCAGTAACGGGCCATAGCGGGGGGAGCATCGGGGGGCGGAAAGGGGCCGAATTATGATTTACTTTACTTTAAGAAAATTATTTAGCAATAATACAATAAAAAACAATATATATATTTTTTATTATGACGTAACAAATATTTTAACACAAATTTAATCTTAAACTGTTGAGCCGTTCTTGAGGAAAAATACAAAATAGGTTTAAAACAGTCTTTGTATTTTAAAAATGGATTTAATAATAGTCAAATATTCAAAAACTTTAAACAATACAGATAAATTCCGACGATCTAAACTATAAAACATATATATATATATAGCCGTGTAGTGGCGGTTGAGAATATCCACTACCCCATATCTTCCCGTGGGTGTCGTAAGAGGCGACAGAGGGACACAAAAAGGAGATGGACATCTTCGTAATAACAACAATAACATAATAAAAAAATTGCGATTGCCAACCCGCTTGCCAAGCGTGGCAACTATGGCAAATATCCCCCCATGAGCAACGACGAAAATACACGGCCCCCACTCCCCGGCAGCCCCG